AGCTGAGACAAAGCCATCAGTAAAATCACAGGAGGGTGTGCTATCCCCTCCCCTGACTGTTTAAAATAAGTGTCACTAAACCAGACAGATGCTGGCGCTGTGTCTCAGCAGGCACTAATTTAGCCCATACGGAGTGCTCTTACATCATTTGTTCTGGGCACAGTTTAATTGCAAAATTAATTATTTTCCTATCAAACAAAATTGTATAAGAGAGCAGTCATGGGATTTTTAAGCCTGATGGATGCTAAATGGGATTTGAATAAATGTAAACAACTTTGGCTCCTGTCTGTGCTCAGGACTGTTAAGACAGCAGTGCCGCTGGGATGGGGAGCCAGCAAATGCCTGATGGTAGGGGACAGGGCATGGCTGCCACCAGGAAGGCAGGGGCACACAGTCCCACCCGCCCTGCCGTGGGGAGCCAGGATGTGGCCTCGGGGATGCCACAGCAGACCCAGCCAGGCAACAAACCACAGTTCACATTGCCGCCCGTCTCTGGCTGCAGGAGGCCTCCAGGACGTGCTGCCAGCACGGTGCTGCAGGGAGCCAGCAGGACCGTGCAGAGCTGGGGACCCCTCTCCAGCCCCCCCACCCTGTCCCACTTTGGACATGCCCATTCCCTGGGACACACCACGTGGAGCTGGCACAGCAACATGGTGGCACCCAGCATAAGGGGAAGGAGAGGGGAGTGTGGCCCTCACCGTGGCATCAGGCTACAGCTGCCCTGGAGCATGGGGAGGCACTCTTTATCTGGGAGGGTAGCGATGGGATGAGGGGTAATGGTTTTAAGCTGAAAGAGGGCAGATTTAGATGAGATATTATGAAGAATTTTCTTCCTGTGAGGGTGGTAAGGCACTGGCCCAGGTTGCCCAGAGAAGCTGTGGATGCCCCATCCCTGGAGGGGTTCAAGGCCAGGCTGGATGAGGCTTTGAGCAACCTGGGCTAGTGAAGAGGGTCCCTGCCCATGGCAGGGGGTTGGAACTAGATGATCTCAAAGGTCCCTTCCAACCCAAACCATTCTATGGTTCTATGGTACACGGCAACTGGTGTCTGGACTGCTCCAGGCCAGGTGGGGAGCGGTTTGCATCTCAGGAGAAGCCCTGTTCAATTTGTTCTTGTTTCTGACCCCACGGCAGTGGGCTCAGACATGAGCAGAGCTAATTACCACCCCAAACACACAACTTTTCCCATCACAGGGCAGACCAGACCTAGATTTTAACTGGGAGGCATCCCGTTTAAGTGGGATGTATCCTCAGTTGATGACAGAAGTGAAACAGGACAGGACCAAAACTGTGGCCTGGGTGAGCCACAGCTGGAACAAGTCCTGACAGGTTGCGATTGTTTCTGCAGAAGCCCTCCCTCTTCAACCCCGACAGCCACTCCAGCACAATGCCTGCCACGTGGGCAGGGCTGTGGTGGGCAAATCCCCTCAAAAGCACACAGAAATGAGCAAATTTATTAGCCAAGCACATAACTGCACAGTAAGGAAAATCTTACCTAAGCAAAATATGGGCACCAGATGCTAAGGTCATGTCTGGGATTGTGGGCGAACGTACTGCAAAATCTGGCACAAATCACTGCTGCTCTTATTGGTCACAGCTGCTGTAGTATGGCCTTTGGGTAACAGTGGGGATGAGCTCAAGTTGTATTGAATTCTGTAAAGACACAGAAGAAATGAAAATCCCAGCTGCAACCTGGAAAACTGGACGTCAGCTCCCACCAGTGAAAGGGGCACATGAGCCATTTCATATTTACCCAGTGCATTTATGAAGCTGAATTATGAAAGCATGAAGCACCGACTCCTTCGGTGTCTTTAAAAGAAAAGTCCATGACACAGCTCATTTCCAGCTCTAACAGGAAGTCTGCAAACTTGTATATGGGGTTTTTTTAATATCTCCTTTAATGCCTCAAGTTTTTTAAGCATCCTGTGATGCCTTTTGTGTTGGACCATATCTCTGAATTTGGGAGTATCCGACTTAATTAAAACTATCTAAGTGATGGCACCTTGGGTGAGACTTTGTTGTTTCATGACATCTTTTATCCCTAGACAGCAGCCAGGCTCTGGGCATGCAACCACTGCCCTCAAGTGGCATGAGCCAGGCAGGACCTCTTGGGAAGCTGAGGGTATTTGGGCTGCAAAGGGAAAAAGGAAAAAAAAGGAGAAAATTTAAAGAACATCTAGAAATTTACCTTTTAAGAACTGAGCCTGGCAAACAGTCGAAGGAAGGAAAAGGCATGCTTTGCCTAGGGATGAAACCTGGGGCTTGTTTGCCGAGCAGGCAGCTCCTCCGCGGCCAAAGCCTCCTCTGAACCGAGGTAGAGGACTTGGCCATCAGGCCAGCAGCAACCCACCGTGGGCTACCAGCAGCATGGTCATGGCATGGGAGCCTGCTCCTTCCTGCAGCCACGCTCCTGGGTGTTCCCACCTCCCACAGCAAGCAGGGGCTCTAGAGCCAAGATGCAGCTCTTTGGCCATGTCTGAATGCAAACCCCCAGCTCTGGTTCCTGTGTAAAACAACTGGATGTCCCCAGCACAAATCAGGGTGAAATAATGATCCTAATTTGTTCTGCTTCTCTCAACCAGTCTCTCCCTTGGTTCCCAGGGTGTTTCCTGTGTTAACTACTGGGACCAAGAAGAGCAAACAACTAGCAGGGGGTTTTTTTACTGATGTGGTAGCTGAAACATTCTTCTACAGCCCTGCGAAGACAAAGGGTGAGGGCATTACAATATTGTTGTTTTAAAACCCTGAGCCACAGTGAGCTTGCTGGGGGTGCCTGTGGGCACTGCCAAAGCAGTGATGCTCTATAACCACTTAATTGTTGGCTTGACCTTTCTTGCACAAAATTCAGCATATGCCTAAGAGGCAAACACAGTGAAACAAGCATTTCCTTAGAGCGGGAGAAAAACCTGAAGGGAGTGAGAGAGAGAGAGAAGGAATTGCGGCGGGATTTGCTCTTGTGTTTTCACCTAATTTCCATGGGCCTCACCCATGCGTGAGTTGAGCAACTCTTATTTATACTGTTTGCCAGCACGATGACAGAGAGGTCTCAAAGCACCACCTGCAATTTACGGGAAGGGCCCTTGTCCGCAGGCATGGCAGTGTGGTGCTCACAAGGGTGTAGCGGAAGCCACAGGCAGGGACACGCAGGGACACTGGGAGCTGCAGCACAGCTCTGTCCTCACCGCTGCAGGCACCACTCCTCCCCAACAATGGGGGATGCCCGTGCTGGGCTCCAGAGCTGTTGTCAGTGCTTTTCTGGCCTGGCTGCCAGCCTGGAAAACAAAGTTCCCAAACAAAGCTAGAGAGCAAGTGAGGAAGAACAGGTCTGACATTCCTGCCTGCTGCCAGTGGCATTTCCAGAGCAATGGGTCTGGAGAGGCTGAGCCCACGGAGCTCCCAGATGAATAGGAGTGATGGACACATCACTGCAGCACTATAATGCTCTTCAGCAAAGGTCTTAGAGCTCGGTCATATTGCAGCAAACCTCCCTAGTTAAAGTTCCCCACCAGAGAGAAAAAGACTGCAGCCCTGTGACACAACTCTCATATAGCAACTTCCCTTTCTAAAAGGCTCTTTTAGAGCCAAACTTTCTATTCTGAGAAAGATTTTGCTAAGGGGGAAAGACTTTCTTGAAGCAGGACTAAAGAAAGGACAGAGTTTGGCGAGGAAGGGATGGAGCAGCAAGTAACCTCACTGAAATCTTCTACAGGCATGTAAGGCAGCATTCAATTTGCTCTAGTTTAAGGTGTTCAGCTCTGATGTTCTGAGTCCCATGCCTGACCTGGGGTTTGGCTCAGGTTGATTTGCTCCATAAATGAAGGCAAAACCTGCAGAGGGATCAGGGAGCATGGAACCTGGGGACAGGGCAGGCAACATGCCACTCCCCAGCACAGCAGATGCTGGGAGGTGCATCCCCTGTACAGCCAGGGACAGGGAGCAGCAGGGGGGTGAGCAGAGGCCACCCCTACAGCAGCTGGAGGGACAACCTTTGCCAGACACCTCTCGGGTCCCTCTTCCTGCCTGAGAACCAGCTGCCCAGCTCCTGTTTCCTCGCACGCCAGAGCTCTGCGTGTTTGTACTGAAAGCACTGGGCAGGTTACAGCCTAGGGGGTACAAGCTACCTGTCTGCCTTTGCTTGGAGGGCTCAGGTGATGCCCGCACCACTGGCTGGATCACTCACTGGTGTGCCCTGTGCACCTCAGGCCCCGAAACCAACTCTGCTGTGCTGCAGTGAGCACCACTTTGCACTGCAGAGGTCAGCTGAGGCTCCTGCCATGCAGAATCTCCCCTCAGTGCTAAGGAGAGAATAATGTTTTGGGTATTGGTGAAGTTTGGAGAATTTGTTCTTATATGCAATTAAAAAATTGTTAGACAGTGTCAGACTGATTGCATCAGGAAAAGAGACATGAAGGCCCTGAAGAGTTTACCAGAGAAACTACTTGTCCATGGAGGAAGTTTCTTCCTATCCCTCCTATTGAGAGATTGATTTATGGCCAGAAGCATAAGCATTTTATAACCCTTGTTAAAAATAAAGTACCCTGGATACATCATGCTTTTAGGCATTGGCTTCAGCAGTATCTCATGGACAAGAGCTCTTCTGGTTCATTTTCCTTTGCAGGAAGTGTCCATCTTTACCAGATTTGAACAAGCCTCCCCCTCGCTCTCACCAGCTACATCCTTGTTCTCACAGTGAGAGTGGACACTGGAAGAGGTGGGGGACCAGAGCAGAAGCTACACAAACTGCACAACACATTGAAGGGAACAGAGTTCACAGCTGATTGCTCAAAACATTAATTTCTGTTTCAACAGCTTCTGAAAAATAGGAGTGGTGGCCTGAAGGACAGCTCATATTTTGCTTGCATTAACTGGATATTATTCAACCTTCTGAATCAACCCTTTCCTCACCTTGCCAGCCACTGACAGAAGAAGGGACCTCTAAACCCTTCAGCAGGATCAACAAGACCAAGGGAGCCTTTGAGAGCCCAGAGCTCTGGAGTGCAGGTCACACACAGAGCACCTCCTGACCACTGCGGCACCACCATTTGCATTTGGCCAGCAAGCCACAGACAAAGCCCTGAATGCCATCCTCATTGTGGTCCTCTTCGTCATCATGGTACCTCTGGGGTGTACCATGGAGATAGCCAAGATCACAACTCACCTCCGGAAACTCAAAGGCGTGGTGATTGCTGTCATGGCTCAATACAGCGTCATACCCTTGACAGCATTTGTGTTGGGCAAGCTTTTCCAGCTGGGTGCTACAGAATCCTTGGCCATCCTCATCTGCAGCTGCTGCCCAGGGGGAAACCTCTCCAACATCTTTAGTCTGTCACTGAGAGGGGACATGAACCTCAGGTAAGGAAAGCTGAGTACGTGTTCGTTGCCCAGGACAATCTGGCCATAGGACTGGTTCACAAGGTAGGTTAACCAACATTAGCAATCCCCAAGAACCTGGACAAAGACTGATATACTAAATCTAGAATATTTTTAAAGCATCCATATTTCTCAGTGTGTTAATTTGTCTCAGTTTTACAATAAAACGGGATTTTGTACCTTTCTCTGAAGCATATGGCATGCTGCTCTTGATGAGATGGGTGCAGGAACACTTTTTCATCTCCACATAGCAGTACATATAGCATATATATCCTGTATCCATACAGCAGCATATAGTTCTGTGTATGCTGAGCACACTGACTGGAGAGGCTGCATCAATGAGAAACGTTGAACTAGCAAAACCCCACAATCCAACAAACCCAAGTGATAAAACACGATCGAGGGGGAAATATCAAGTATTACTTTCTCTGTCACTTCTGATTTTCAGAGGTGTGAGCTGTACCCATAACAAAGGTTCTTTCTGAGCTTATATACAATTTGAGTCATCTTCCCCCCTCTCTAGTCATATCACATCTTTATACAACCCAATAAGGATGGGGAAACCTCAGTGACATGTATCCAGGTTAGTAAGAAAATTGAGCATATTCCATTAAAAAAGCATAATTCTTCTACTGAAGGGTCCTTTCTTCATCTCAGCATTGTAATGACCACATGCTCAATAGGCCTGGCAATTGGACTAATGCCTCTGCTTCCGTACCTTTACTTGGGAGGACTATACAAGGGTGATTTGGAGGGCAAGGTGCCTTACAAAGGAATAATCACCTCCCTGGTCCTCATGCTAAGCCCCTGTGCCATCGGCGTCATCTTGAATGAGAAGAAATCACAGTACACTGGCTTTCTCATCAAGGTAAGAAGTATTTGGTGCTAGTTGCCTTTCAACCAAGGGCCTCAAGGAAGTTTTCAAAAACAGAGGCACAGAAATATTAACTTCTTTAAGGCATACCACATATCCATGAAAGGGTTGAGGATAGAACTCAAGACATCCACTTCACCACTTTAGTCATGAAAATATTTGCCCAAAGAGAAGTCCTCCACCTTTTCCAGACAAATGACATTTTTGTAGGCAGCCTCCTACCTTGCTCTTCTTTGTTGGCTTTGGCTTTATTTCATTTTCTTTTGCTACAAGCAGTACTAAAGAGCCTCATAGGCACTGCCCCCAACTACTGCTGTAACCAAAGCAGACCCCAGATTAAAAAAAAAAAAAACAAAAAACAAAACCCAAACAAAACTCAAAACAACAAAAAAAACCCAAAATCCCCAAACAAACAAAAAAGCCATCCCACTGTTCCCAGAGGTCTAGCACAAGGCAAGAGTCACATCACAAAGCTGCTGCTCACACCAGTGAGATATCTATCCAGCAGAAGTCCCTAGCTCACCGAGCACTCGCTTATGCCTGGAATCACCTCCCTGCCTCCTTTGTACATTAGGCATTTAGACAGCAAAAGGGAAACCTGGACAACCAGCTACACCATAGCCTAACTCAAGAGCTCCACTAGCAGTACCCAGAGAGCTGCTAACAACTTTGTAAACCTGTTTTTTTGTAGTTTCTTTCACTAAGGCTTCATCTTGGAGAAACTCTGACCAAGCACAGCAAGAATTGGGTGCCAAGGCTCACTAACAGACCTGATAAAATGACACTAGGAATCACTAACCTCTGAAAAGCAGAGGAACCCGGGAGTCAAGCTAGAGCAGATGCAGCAGGACCAGAGGTTTCAAAGGTTCCTTTTCCCAGCACAGGGCAGAGACGACTGGACTTTCAAAAGAAGCTTTAAAAGCCTAGCATGACAAGGTGACCTATGATGGCCCAGCTGACCCTGGGGTGATGTTCCTTTCTGCTCACACCACCTTTCCATTTATCTTGTCTACAAGAGTCCATCCAAACTGGACTCACAGGCAGGAGAGCTATGTATTCTGCCTCCCAAAATTCCCCAGCTGCTTCATCAGCTGAATCACCAGACACCAATGAGATGATATGAAAATGCAGCCACCACCTTCCCCACCCACTGTAGGTAGGCTCTGCCAGTGAGTAAAGTGGTTTCCTCCCCACCTGCTTCTGGTGGACCAGACCCACAAGGGACCCAGACAGACACACAGCAATGCCTGAGAAATGAGTGGCTGGTAGAGCAAGCACCAACTATTTTCATAGAATCATAAAGGTTGGAAAAGACCTCAAGGATCATCAAGTCCAACCGTCAATCTAGCACCACGTAACCCACTAAACCATGTCCCTAAGCACCACATATACATGTTTCTTGAACACCTCCAGGAATGGTGACTCCACCACTTCCCTGGGCAGCCTGTTCCAATGTTTGATCACTCTTTCAGTGAAGAAATTTTTTCTAATATCTAGCCTAAACCCCCCCCGGCACAACTTGAGGCCGTTTGCATATAGACCAGAAAGGTACCTGATTATTTAAGGTCTCTCTAGGCAACACCTCAGGATGATCTCTTGTTGATTACTTGTAACCTTTATATCCATGAAAGGCACTTATGCATTCTCACTATATACTTACATATGTGATGGGCAGGGAACTAGGCACAGCTGCTTCCAACAGACAAGGCAAATTTTGCTGGCGATTTCTCTCCTGTTCATGTCTTGACCACTTTTATTTTAGGCAGGGATGGTTGTGCTTCTGCTGTCATCTGCTGCAATAATCGCTCTGTCTGTGGACAGTGTAGGAAGTGGTATCATGGTCATCTTCTCATCATCCCTCCTGGGATCTTTTGCCTTGATGCCCTTTATTGGATTCCTGCAGCAGTCTTTAAGCCCAATGATCAGGATGTTCCTCCACTCCCCCCTCCCTCCCTCTCTGTCACCAGAAGTACAGAGAGGTACAACAGCTCTGGTCTATGGCACAATGGCGAAAGCATGGGTTTCAGCACGGAGGTACTTCTGTAAAATAACCACTGATTGCAGTCTCCCAAAATGGGCCCTAGGAGTATGAGCAGACACGCTGCAAGCTGGTCCCAAGGCAATGCTCCCACACCTTGAGTGGGGAGAGAAACGAGTTCAACCTCTGCTCAGCTCAGTGGAGAGGGGAGGAGCAGCTGGAGCAGTTTCTGACACAAGCACCTGATCACCACGGAAGAGGTGGAAGGCCATTACGCAGGTTCACTGCACAGGCAGATGGATGGGTTTGACTTGAGGTCACTAGTGACCTGCTAAGCATGTTACCACCCTCTGCTCTCAGCAATAAAGCTGGGGGATGAAGAGAAGGAATAGCACCGAAGAACAACAAAGAATTAGGGAACACCAACAGAGACCAAACCCCAAGTGACACAACTGTTCCTCAGCTGATAATTATCCCAAACTAGTCAGCGCATTCAGCCGAAACCCCAGGAATTCAGGATAGAAACCTTGCGTGTAAACCCCCCTAGCCGTCGCTATTTTTTACCTTCACTCCTGCATGAAGTTGCGGAGCCCTGATCTGTCTCTGCGCATTGCAAAGGGAGCATGAGGTAAAACCTTCTAGGGATCCCAGTATTGCTCCCGATAATGCAGGTTTAGCACAGGCAAATGCACGAAGCACTGCAACAGCAAGGCAGGCAGGCTTTTTAGGCTGTTTAAAAGTGGATTAAACCTGTAATGCTTGTCAGGGTTTAACTTTTCCTCCTTCAGATGCAGAAGGCTGGTGTGCATGGAAACTGGCTGCCAGAATGTACAGCTTTGCTCGACTATCCTCAAGGTTGCCTTCACCCCAGAAAGCATTGGCCCCTGTACTTCTTCCCACTGCTCTACTTGCTGTTCCAGAGAGACTTCTGCTCATCCTGCTCTTTACGATCTGGGACAGAACAAAGAAACCAAATGGCAAGTACAGCTTAATATAATTACCAATGAATTACTGCTTCCTAGGGGCACAATCCGGTGCCCCTTTAACTCAGGGTTACATACCCAAACACGTTATATTCAGACTCCAGTCAAAAATTCAAAGGTAACTGAAGACACTAGAAATTACGACTTTTTGCATCAGCAGAATGTTTCATATAGCTATATACTACCTATACTATCAGTGCCCAGAGGTTTTCAGAGACCTGTCCTTAAACTAGGATGGACATCCTGCAAAATCTATTACTTGCACTGAGCACATGCAGAGAACAGTCACACACACCTAAAACTACATGAGAACATTAAATATTCCAAATTCCTCATTTTGCTTTTTATCACCCAGCAACATCAATTGTAGCTGTGTTGCAATCTTTTCATAACCTGGCTTCGGAACTGCCTATTCTCACTTTATTTTTCTTTTTCTTCAGATGCAGCAGAATTGATCTGCACAGGTTTGGACACAGTTACTGCTCAAGAAACAAAACCAGTGTCAAGACCCTCCAGAAACAGTAGAAAACCAGGAAAAAAATAGACAGATTTCACAGCAGCTGCTATCACAACCCTTCCAAGCTCCACCTTCTGCAGCTGGCTTACAGGTCTCCAGCAGTTTTGTATTAAACTTTTTATCTGTGCTCATTTTGCACCAAAGACATCACCACGGAGCAACCTGCAGACTCAGTTATTTCCTGAAGACCTTGTTCCAGACTAAGCCTCTCTCTCCCTGCCTGCCCATGAGGGATACTTCCTGTGACTTCCAAGTCATCATGACAACCCTTTGGGACAGCTTAGGGCCACACACCCAAGCCACTGCCCCCAGTTTTGCCCACAGGAAGATCACTGCCTACATCAGTTTCTCTCTTTAATTCCACTTGCCTGTAATTGTCCCGCTGGCACATACTGGAAGCAGCTCATGACAACATCGCTGAAGATTCATGTTAATTTCTCTGTCAACAAAGACCCAAAGCAAGGTGTCAAAGTTTCTCAGTGCAGGAGCCACCAAGACCCCATGTGTAGCCCACGGACTGCTGGTCGCTCTCATTTTCCAAAATTCAAGCAGTGTGCACTGTGCCACTGCTCTCCACACAGCAGAGGCCACAAAAACTGAACACACCTATGCTAACTGCCTTAGTACATTGAGTCTGGGGTCCAGCAAGCTGCACCTCTGAAAAGGGATGAGCCTGAATGTGCCTTGTTCAGGAGTCAGTCACCTAACACACCACTTAGCTAATGTCACACTGCAAATAAAAGAGTATGAGGGAAGACTGGCATTAACACCTCCAATGCCCTAAGTATGCGTTGTAGCCTGAAGTAATCCACCTGAACTAAGAACAAACAGGATTGTACCAAGAACCTGTGCTTCATAAACACAAAATCATTTCTGGCCAGAAGTCAGCGTAACTCTCCATAACGCAAAGCCTGGGAGTTTGTCTTAAACTGAAAGGTCATCATCACAACAGCCAGCTCCCCCCGTAAAACACGGACACCTCTTCATGCTGCTTGCAAGGTAAGGGGTAGTTTAGACCGAGAAGTCAGAGCAGCTATTTATAGAGCAGGTAGTGCCTCCTATTTAGGCAAAGGGAAGGAAGTGTCTGAAATCCCACCCTTTTCCAATCATCAGGTGCCTTCAGCCACCTGGGTTCTAGCTGGATCCAAGTCCCCCCTGAGCACAGGTGCCCTTTACCATTCAAGTAAGCAGGAAGGATCAACCAACTTGAGATAACACAGCTAACCTTACACCCAGGGGAGTGCCAGCACTGCCTTTATCCCTAGAGGTTAAAGCCCTCTTCTTCCACACCTCGTAAAATGATCTAGCATCAGAAAATGAAGCCTCCCACCCCCCCAGGCTGACAAATAATAATCTGCTTAACTGCATCTGCAACAGCAGGTGCAGCTGCAACAGCATGGAGAAAAGGCAGCAGGGCCTGCAGACACCAAACAACTCTCCCCACCCAAGGCCTGACCTCGCTCTGAGCAGAATGGCCTTGTGTTTCCTAGGACCTAATCCAAACCCATCCTAGCCTCCAGGGATCTTTTTAAAAGTTTCAGTGGATTACTGGAGTAGTGTCGTAAAGCACTCTATAATAAAAATATTTTTTAAATTAAATGCTAAAGCTCGCTCTTGTAACATGGGTGAGGGCTTGGGAAACACAGGGAGTGCAGAGGGTTGCGGCCCCTGTAAGAAACAGACACTGAAACACAGGCTGCAGTACTCCCACCCACAAACTTAAAAATCCCTCCTCTTCCTCCAGAATTAGGACCGACACCTATAAAAATGCTTTATCCACACCTCAGTGTTCTCTCGTAAGTGTGTGTACAAACACACTAACAAGGTATGCTGACTACATCTATCTTTAACATTCCACACTTATTATTCAAAGTGATTAAAACCCAAGTGACTCCTGTTCCATTCCACCTGTTGCTATGAACTATGATGGCATGATTCTCCCCATTATCACTGTTCTTATTTCAGAATAGAGAGATATCTAAGGACATAGCATGATGTCTTTAAAAGGCAGCAAGTTCTCCCCCATACCAAGACACTCAACATTAGCTCTGCTGCAGACCCACCCTTAAGAAACATTGTAACTGTCCAACAACATGAGGCACAGTCAGCAGCACTTTGTTAACAGGAAGAACACACTAGAAGCAGAGACATGTTTCTTTATGCTTTATTTAAGCTATTTAATTAAGTATCAAGAATTAGGGTTCTTTATAGAATATTACCACAGGGCAGTGAAACGGGCATTTTCTTAGTGTAGTGCAAGTCATATTAAATGAAAAGCTTTTAAAATAAAGTTTTATTACCAGTACTGACCAGCACTTAATCTGCTGACCTACAACTGAAACAATGGTTCAAAGGCACAAAAAAATACCCTCTGAAATAAAGCTTTATGTACAGCACAGGGAGAGCTCTTAGATGCCTAAAGCTATTAGTTTAATTTGAGATATTAAACTAATGCTCAAAGTTGCTATTCACAGTTGAATATACTGGGAATTGAGTGTTCAGATTACTTTTTTTGGAATACAAAAAAATGTAAGTTGTCTGCTTTAGTTATAAAGAGCTCTGCCAATACAGACAAACTATACACTTCAGACAGTCACAAAAAAAAATGTGAGCAAGAAAAGGGTTATCAAAAAACATTTAATACAATTAGTCAACAACCCTTCCCACCATGGTCCACATCTACAAAGTTCCCCCATCCCACCCCCCTCCCCATCCAAACCCTTCCCCACAGAAAGTCACATACTTACCACAAGTTTTAGCAAGTATGGTTTAAAAAAGTGCCCCCAGGGCAAGTTACTTATAGTTCAGTTGCCACTGTCAACAGATCTGGACCTCGATCTAGACCTCTGCCGATCCACAGATGATGGAGATTTAGATCTACTAGAAGAACCACGTTTCTGGCTCTTGTCTGGCATTGGAGATCTACTAACTGACCGAGACTTGCTATGGCTCCTGCTCCTTGACCTGCTGTAAGACTTGCGGCTGCGGGAACGGGAACGGCTACGAGACCCAGATGAGCTTCTGCTCCGAGACCGTGACCTGCTTCTGGACCTACTGAGAAAACAAACAGCATCGGCGTTAGCAATGAAAACTCAGGGACCACGACAATAACCAGGCAATTCACTAGTGTCCAGTTTGGTTGCTTGGTCACTGACTTCAAAGGATTTCTTAGCTGATATTTAAGCATTATTTAAGAAACTACAAATCCATACCTGTGCCTCTTGCTGCCTTCAATTAGTTTGATTTTCCTTCCATTAATTTCTTTACCAGAAAGCTTGTCAATAGCATTCTTTAAATCACTGTAAGAGGCGAATTCAACCACCCTACAGCAAAAAACAGAACAAAAACCAAAACACAGAGCTCACTATTACAAGTTGTATTTTTGATGACAGACCAAAACATCCTCTGGAGAAAAAAAAAAAAACACCACAACTAAAAAAACCTCACTGTTCAGCATAGTCATCCCTTGCCATAACTCAAGCATGAATTGAAGAATTTCCCTCCCCAAATACCAGAGAATGCATTTTCAAAGAGTAGCTAAATTAAACTATGAACAGCTGCTGAACACTGAAAGCAGACAGCTTCCCTCCCCAAATATCTACATAACACGTAAAAATACTAAGCTACAGCTTTCAAGAGATGATTTTAGAGGCTTACCCTTCATTTAATTTAGGTCTATGTGCATCTGCAAAGGTTACTTCCCCAGCTTGTCTCATGAAGTCTTTGAGATCCTAACACAAGACCAGTTATGTTATGCAAAGAAGTGAAATTAATGCTTATCTACATAAAAATAGTTAAAAACAAAAGAAACTTATGACTACTGAAAGAAAAGATGTTAGATAAATTACCAACATGGCAATCTGCCATACTTGTATTCTATCAAAACTGAATTATATATATCAGGGCACGAAATAAATGAAAAAGCATATTGCTTTAAGCAAAATGCTACTAAAGTGTTTAACATTAAGGAAAATATTAGTCTACAAAGATTATATAGATCAAATAAGAGAGAGAAAAAAAGAAAGAGAAAGAAATAAAAAAGTACATTTGTATATATACTGGACTGAATGTGAAATACTACCCATATATTTTTGTACTATTTCAGTTTCCATTTACGTTACAAGTCTTATAAAAGTATACAGAATTAGATTTACACAACACCAATTATTTTGTGCCCCATATGTCATTAAAAATATAGTTTACTTTACCTTTATTAACAATTCCCTAGGCTAGCCAAGCAGCAAACTGCATTAAGCGACCGGAGATACCGTCACGATATATGCCCGACTGGCTCTTCGACCGCCCCCCATTTGATGAACACTACCCAGTCGATGGAAGCCATTAATCGCACTGCCCTCCCTATTAGGAGACTACGGATGGATCCAGACATTCTCTATGCTTGAAGTTACCAAGGACCAGTTTACTGCGATCAGGATTCCAACGACCACCTAATTTCGTATCTTTCAACTCTTTTCGACCAGGACCTCGTTATTCGGA